ACGCACACTAAGTATCTTATTAGCTATATCTACCACCTTACATAGCTAGGGCGCAAATCCTTGCGAATAAAGGTTAAGTATATACTAGATAATTATCTACTCCTCTAGTATAGTAAGTTTCTAGTAATTAGCGCATATGTCTAGTTAAAACGTAATATTGCAAAGGCAATTAGAGACCTACTAATAAGGTACGTTCAACGCTCTAGCAGCACTGTAGATACTATAAAATTAGCTAGCATAGAAGGCCTAGATAGCAAGGATAACTCTGCCTTCTCTAGTAGTATTCTAAAGTTGTTGTTATTAAGGCATGTTGTGTTAGGGTAAAAGGTGGTCGTGCCAAGAGAAAGTGGCCGGTTTGGTGATATGGCCGGCTCGGTGATAATCTACGTTATCTAATGTATCTTTTCTACACATACATGAGTTATGCCCAGTCTCTCTGCACCTTGTGCAGCGCGCAAGAGCCTGGCGGCTAAGGCCTGATCGCGCTCCTCCTTGACGCTCTTCACAAGAAATCTGCTACTCAACCTCACCTTGAGCAAGTATATCCTCTCCCCCTCCCTTTGTTAAGGTCCCTCGCTTCTGTATACGCTTTTTCTTCCATTGCTTACGCGCTGACGCTGCCTTGTTGGCTCGCTTAAGGCTGGTGATCCGATCGCGCATCAGCTTAGCAGAGAGTATCATCACCTCAGCGCCCTTCTTTAGCTGGTTAATTGCTTTAATAATAGAAGCTGGTGACGAGCTCTTATGCTGGCGTACGCGCTCACGTATAAGAGTTGATTGAGCCTCAAGCTCGCGCACGTTGCTCAGTGTACGAGCCTCCCAGGGAGCCTCTAGTAGAGCAGCAGCTGGAGACGGCGTACGCAGCTGCACGTCTAGCTTCGATAGAACAGCGTCTGGCTGGAGAGGAACAAGGCCTGCGCCTCGAAAAGCTGAGCAGATATTGGCTAAGGTGAGCGATTGATTGAATGCTGCCTTAAACGCTGGCAGAAACTCGAGCTTAGTGATGTGGTTGATGTGGTGGCGGATCAGGCTCTCAACCTCACTTGGTTGGTTGGTTGGAATTGATTTTCGTCCAAAGGATGGGGATTAAGTCCACCATCCTGCCTCCTGAAGGGCATGTAGGACGTGCTGAGCTATGGATTTACAGTGCTGTTGCGCTACCCTAGAAAGCATTTCTTGCATGTGCGAGTATTTCTACTATTTCTAGCTATAGCTCTCCTTCCTGTTAGAGAGACTAAGCAGTATAGAC